TTTTTTTTTTAGAATTTGTTAGGTTCTCATACTGGTGACAGCTATTGTTTTTCTGATTTTTCCCTTGTGCTTATGTTATTCATATTATCAGTGGTCTTTTTGCAGGAATCCTTTTAAACCATGTTTTAAATTCTGTGGAGGTTAAGCTAATTAACACTAGATAATATCTGTAAATCCACTTAATTAGGCAAAAGAGAACTATGACATGGTGAAAAGGAACACATGAGCATGCCTCTGTCACCCCCACGTGCAGTGAAATCCCGCTCTGTCCTCAGGATTTTGTGCATCCCATGTATGACTCAGGACTGCCTGACCTATGAGGGTGCTGACATCCATACCCATTAGAGTGTGGGCTCCGTGGCCAGCTGCCTGCAGGCTTCCAAGCCAGTGACTGTGACCGTGACACAAATTCCTTGGTTTCTCTATACCTGTCTGCTCATCTATAAAACAAGAACAGTAATCACCTCTGCTTTGTAGTTAATGAGTTCATACGATATATGTAAAGTGCTTATCTGTTAGCTAGTTTATTAGTGTTAGTTATTAGAAAAGCTTTATCTAAAAAAAGTAGATATGGGAAAATAAACAGTCATAGAATAGATATGGATAATCGACCTTATAACATTGAAAACCACTGATTGCAGAAGGCGCCTGTGGTTTTGTTTGTTTGGTATGTTGAAAACCATCATTGAGGAATTGCTGAGTCCTTCCTTGAAATGTAGAAGTGAAACGAGGCTGCATAAAAATGCCTTCAAAGCCACGGTCTCTGCTAAAGTAGTAAGGAGATTTCCTCTGGCCTGCCGTCAATGAACCGCAGCCATTGAGCCTATGGAAAGAGGTGAAAAAGCAGCTACACCCAAACCATGGATCAGAACCCCCAATCAAACCCCCCCCCCCGGAACCGGTGGGGAAAGTAGTTGGGCAAGCGCACACGCAGGCAAAGCAGAAGACAAAGAATGACAGCTCCTGGTTGGTGTGCGTGAGCCAACCAACCGAGCAGGTTGACTCACTCTTACGCCCCTACCTCTGCCGTCAGACTGAAAGTATTTTTTAAAAATATGAGGCTCTGGAGCAGTTGCTTGAATTGATTATCATAGCAAATACTACTTTTGCTTCGTTGTTGATTTTCTAGGTACTGTTTGAGGAAGAGGCCTGTCACATCTCTAGGCAGATAGTATGTACTTTAGTGAGAAGGTATAGGTGGACTCACAGGAGTAATGATGCTAGTTGATATGTGCTGAGTATTTGAAGAAGTGTAGGGATCAGCTTTGGGATTCTCGATGAGCTTATAAGTGTCTCATGTTAGCTGTCTGTACAGATAAATGACCAGAAGGTGGTTTTCTTCACTTCGCTGCATTATTTGGAAGGGAAATAAACCATCATTTTAAGAGTTTCTCTCACTGTTCTTTTCCCTTCAGTGGCCACAGACATTGTCTTTAGATTGTAGTAGTCCTTGTATTGTGTTTAATCAGTACTTCATTTCATTAACTTAGGTGAAATGCCTCAGCTCGTCAAAGGAATGAAGCTCTTAAACCAAGCTGATCCCTGTGTCCAGATTCTAATTCAGGAAACTGGAGAGCACGTGTTAGTCACAGCAGGAGAAGTCCACCTTCAGCGATGCCTGGACGACCTAAAAGAAAGGTTAGCTGATGACAGAGACGGAGAAAAGATAGCTCCAAAATCAATGGATGTTTTAGCGTTTTCTAAACCATTCACACTCAGACGGTGGTTTGTTTTTGGAGAAAAATGAAGTGCCCTGAATCATGAACTGTAACTTATTATTGGATCGTACATTTAATTTTTAATAACTGACAAATAACATTCACTCCTATACTTGAATATTTTGCATTTTTAGCTTGAGTCAAAATATTTTCATATATATGATGTATATTATCTATTCATATATAATATATACATGTACACACACACATGTACATCCACATTGCCAATAGTGGATGGAGGTCAGACCAAAGTGATAGTATTACCTGAGAATGAGGTAGACAGAAAATAAGAGAAAAAGAAAGATTGCATGGTTTTTGGTTTTGTTTTTTTTTAAAGATTTTATTGGGGAATTGGGGGAGGGGAACAGCGCTGGGGAATCAGGGGGAGGGGGACAGACAAGTTGCTGTCCTTTTGTTCTTCAGCCTAGTTGTGGAGGACGTCTTTTCACTGGCCCATGTTGGTATTATCACTGCGCTCTTCCCGGGTGCTGCAGATCGGTCGCCAGCCTCTGGATGGCTGCTCATGGCGGCTCTTGGCAGCTCACACTGGCTGCCGGCCACACACGGTAGCCCATGGCAACCCACTGCAGCACGGGCTGCAGCCTTCGCCGTCGCCGGCAACTCGTGGCAGCCCAGCTCCAGGTTGAGCTGTTCTTCAGCATCTTAGCTGTAGAGGGCAGTGTCACTGGCCCTCATGTGGGATACGAACTGGAGCCCTGCTGCTGAGAGCTGGCGTCCCAAGCCAGCTCTTAACCAACGCACCACTCGGCCAGCCCAGGACTGCATGGCTTTATCATCATCAGAATCGATCCATGCCCTCTGTGAACTTCTAAGTCATTTGGAAGAAAATGCAGCATGAAACTAAACTTAATAGTGTGTGAAAAGGGGACTTTCTGAACTCGGTGCCAGACTGAGGTTCCAGACCTGTACTGTCCAGTACAGTAGCCACTAGCCACATGTGGCTATTTAAAATCAAATTAGTTGAAGTTAAATAAAATAAAAAACTCAGTTCCTCAATCACACTAGCCCCATTTGCAGCACTCCGTAGGTACATGTGACTATTTAAATTTAATTGAAATGACATAAAATTAACGAATTCATTCCCCCAGTTGTGCTGGCCACATTTCAAGTGCTCAGGAACTCCAGTGCAGATGTAGGACATTTCCGTCATTGCAGAAACGGCTGCAGACAAACTCCTAGATCACACTGGCCTCGCTGAGAGCCTCATTATCAAAGCCAAATACATTGTCAGAATTTTACTAGATGTCCTGACCTCTTTGTCTATTTAGAGTTATAATCATTGTGCGTTTCTTCTCCAGACATTTAAATTGGCAGATATTATTTTAAAGAACTTGTGTCAAATCTTTTTAAAACATTTATTTTCCATTCAAAATGTTCTTATCTAGATAGATGGTTCATTTATTTTGAGAACAAAGCAGTGAAATTCTAGTACTTGCAAAGAACTCTCTGAAATATGTTCACATTAGAGGTAGTCTTTTCAACCTTAAATGAAAGTGGTTTTTGAATTCTGATATAATGTAATTACTAATCTTTCATAGTAAAATAATTTTTTTTCTGTTTACAGAATCCCCCTTGTATAATATTTCTACATGGGAATTTTGATGCCATTTTGATTGTAACCTTATGTTATTTCTCTTGCATTTTTCTGTAGGTTTGCAAAGATTCAAATCAGTGTATCTGAACCCATTATTCCATTCAGAGAAACAATCACAAAACCCCCCAAAGTGGACATGGTCAATGAAGAAATAGGCAAACAACAGAAAGTTGCAGTCATACACCAAACGAAAGAAGATCAGAGCAGAATCCCTGAGGGAATCCAGGTTGACTCCGATGGGCTGGTAACCATGACAACTCCCAACAAACTGGCCACATTGAGTGTGCGGGCCATGCCCCTTCCAGAAGAGGTCACTCAGATTCTGGAAGAAAACAGTGATTTGATTCGTTCTATGGAACAGCTGATGTCATCTTCGAATGAGGGCAAAAACACTCAGATGATTCACCAGAAGACCCAAGAGAAAATTTGGGAACTCAAAGGAAAACTAGAGCAACACCTAACAGGGAGGAAATGGAGGAACACTGTTGACCAGATCTGGTCATTTGGCCCAAGAAAATGTGGGCCTAATATATTAGTAAATAAAAGTGAAGGTTTTCAGAACTCTGTGTGGACAGCCCCAGCCGGCAAAGCTTCCCAAGAAGCCAGCAGATACCGCGATGTGGGCAACAGCCTTGTGAGTGGCTTCCAGCTGGCGACTCTCTCCGGCCCCATGTGTGAGGAGCCACTCATGGGTGTCTGTTTCATCCTGGAAAAGCTAGACCTAAGTAAATTTGAGGAACTGGGAGCAAGTGATAAGCAGAGTGTGGAACAGAGTGATCTGGTGAAAGAGGGACCGGGAGACGGTGAAACCTGTTCCGGGGACAGTGGAAGCCAGGAGCTCCCCGCTGGCCACGCCGAGCCCTTTGAGAAGAGGGCTTCCCCGAAAGCAGAGTCCTCACTCACTGACTGCTACGGGCCCTTCTCGGGACAGCTGATCGCCACCATGAAGGAAGCGTGTCGCTATGCTCTGCAAGTGAAGCCACAGCGTTTGATGGCCGCCATGTACACGTGCGACATCATGGCCACCGGTGATGTTCTCGGTAAGGACAGAGCGATGACGGCAGCGGGAGGTACCTTGAATAGCAGGGAAGTCGCCTAGGTCAAGAAACTTCAACTCATTTAATATTTCTTTTTCAGAAGCTACATTAACATCTGATTTATTAAGGAACTAAGATTTTTGAGAGCCCAGAGGCCTTAAATGTTAAAATCTTGAGGGAGGGGGAAACTTCATTACTAAATATTTTGCAGCAAATAGACTCTTTTCTGTAATGAAAGGTCTGGTAAGTGAGGTTTAAACCGCCTATATATGTTACGTCCAAACCTGTGCAGCATCTTTTCCTTATGAATAACCGTATTGGTCTGGGTAACCAGGGTCATTCTAAAAATGATGAAAGAGAAAGGCAACATTCTGGGAGTCCTAACACAAAAGGGCTTTGTGAATTCTGGGTCCGTTCTGAAGAGGAAAATTATTTGGGGATTTATTGTGTGCTAACCATTACATTAAATTCTGATTGTTCTCCCGTTGGGAGAAGATCTGTTAGGAGCTCAGGAGGCATGGAGCCCCGGCACTTAGTAGCTATTTAGACTTTTGACAGACATTACTTCACTGAGACTAATTTTCTTCATCTATAATAGAGAAAGTGATAACTCATTGGAGGTTGTAAAGATGAACATGAGAACACAAATTACCCTCTTGGGATCGCGGACTGATTCAGGGGTGAGGAGGGTAGAACGGGGAAGTGAGCACGGGATGTCAGTGGACCAAGTCAGTAGGTTCCCTCTAGCGCTGGGGTCCTTTGAGTCATTATGTGGTTATTCTCTTTAGTAAGGTTCTTTTGCTGGTTAATTCCTAAAAGCAGAAGCCTAAATTGTTGGGGATTTTTTTCCAAAAGAAATTTAGGCTTGCTTCACAGCACGGTTCCTATGAGATGAACTCAGCATCCATAGCAGCATTTCAAGGCCAGCTGGGCTGAACAAGTTAACAGATGTGGTTACTGTGGGACTGCCTCAGGTTGGTGTGTCCTCAAGTCAGATGTGCAAATGCGACATAGCGTACAGTGCCTCCCCACATGCCTGCTAACGTCCGTCTGCGGAACGCCAGTTTAGACCCTTCCCAGAGGTTACCCTTCATTTCATCTGGAACTTTCTTCTTGTAAGCGGGCAGAGGTAGCGTTAAGATCGAGGAAGCTTGATTCCTTCAAAAGACTTCAGAGCTCTTCTCCAGTGTCTCATACCTGACAGCAGCCTCTGCTGCCTGGATTTGAACACTTCTGTTGGTGGGTAGCTCACAGCCAGTTCATCCCNCTCTTCTTTCTCTGATTTCCCAAGCTGGGGTCAGAATGTCACAGTGGCCACCCCTCTGCTCTGTGCCCCCAATGTCTGCTCAACAACCACTGTCCAAACACAGAGAACTGTGGGTGTCCTAAAGCCACCATTATTTTCATCATCGTCGGTGCTCCTTACTACATGCCCATACTAAGGATTTTACTTCGATTGTTTCATTTACTGCTCAGCAGCCCTATGCTTGTTTTTATCCTCATCTTCACATGAGGTAAACTGAGGCTTAGAGTCATTCATTAACTTGCATATCAGTTTAAAAAGAAAAGCCCTTTATGTATATGTTTATATAGATACATGTTTCATGTACATTATGAAATATAAAAATAAAACTTATTTTAAAAATTGAGATGAAAATGAAATAACTATCTTTAAAATAATTTTATTTGGTGTAGGTATATATGGTACATGTAGGTATATGTAGGTATATATATTATTTATTTGTGATTGTGGTTTAAAATTGTACTATCTAGTAATGTGCATATAACACATTACTCCAAATTTTAGTGGCTTGGAACAACAATAGTCATTTATTATTTTTCACAGTTCCTTTGGGAAGGGTTCAGCTTGGGGGTCTCTCGAGCACTTGCAGCCATGTATCAGCTTGGGCTGCAGTCATGTATCAGCATGGGCTGTAGCCATCTGGAGGTTTCACTGGACTCCCAGGTGTGTTGCTCACCTGGGCTCACAAGTTGGTGCTGGTTGGGACCTCACTTCTTCTCCATAGGGACCCGTCCACATGCTTGAGTGTCCTGCAGCGTAGCGTGGTGTGGCTGGCTTTTACCAGCAGTCCGGGATACTAAGGCAGAAGCTCCCGTGCCCTGGGAGTCCCACATCACATCCGCAGTGTCTTGTTCACTCACTGTGGGAGGGGGCCACTGCCCAGGAATGTAGCCATCGGGGGCAGGGTGACTGGGGCCATCTTGGCGGGTGGTCACCACAATAATGCTTCATTATGTGTGAAAACCTTATCTTAACATTGTGAAACAGCTATTCGAAGCTCTGCTTCTAGGTTTCATTATTGCAACAGTTGATTTTAATGGTTATCACTGGAAAAGGCATCTCAGAAAGTTACTTAGTTCAAGTGGAAAAAGGCCTTAACTAAGTCTTACTATTGATTTTAATCCCATTTACCAGTTTATACAGTGGATTTTATGAAATGCAGACTGAATATTCTTCCTGATCTTACTCAGTTTTTCACTGATTAGAAGATGTCAGTTTTTATCTTTAACAAACTATTCATTTGGAAGATTTTTACACAGGTAGAAAATCAGCCTCCCCATTTTAAGAGGTTTTATAGATGAGGTGTTTATGTTGTTTCTGGCAACAAAATGAGTACCAGTGTAAACATTTTCACAATGTTGTCTCCATATTCCAAATCTTTTTTGAAAAAGTTTCTTCTTTGCTTATTGTTAAACTGTTACTCTTACCGCAAAAAGTGTTTATGCTTTTTTTTTTTTTTAGAATTTGTTAGGTTCTCATACTGGTGACAGCTATTGTTTTTCTGATTTTTCCCTTGTGCTTATGTTATTCATATTATCAGTGGTCTTTTTGCAGGAATCCTTTTAAACTATGTTTTAAATTCTGTGGAGGTTAAGCTAATTAACACTAGATAATATCTGTAAATCCACTTAATTAGGCAAAAGAGAACTATGACATGGTGAAAAGGAACACATGAGCATGCCTNGTGGAAAAGCCTCAAATGTGTCCTGTGGGCAGTGAGTGGCTTACCTTGGCTTGGAGCATGGAGCCTCTGGTCTGGGTACTTTCGGGTCTGGCACTCGGGAGCCGAAGTAGTGGGTTACGGCCAGGCCTGAAAGGGCCGTGAGTGCAGGCTGAGACAATTACAGAATAGTCTTTAAAAACAGGACCCTGATCAAAATTGTTTCAATTGATTAAACTTTTTGTTGCCTTTCTTTTCCTGGTGGATGCCTGGTATCTTGCATACAGCTGGGCACACAGTGATCTTTCTTTGAGTAAGCGAACAAAGAAATGGCTGAGGTTTGATGACGGAAAAGTTGCCCAGATGAAGGGGTGTCAGAGTATTCGCAGTCAGAGGCCATGTGATCAGATGTCCTTGTTGATACGGCTACATTAATGTCTCAGTGACAACAGTGGCAGGTTAGAGGGCCTGTGAGTGTGTCCAGGCATGGGACACACCTTTTGTGAGAGCCACGTGTATTTGGAAGGTTTTATTATCATCTCCCTTTGCTCGGTGATCCATCACGATGCTGCAGTTTTAGGATTTAGTGCTAGTGGAGTTAAGACTGAGTGGCTCAAAATTACATGATTAATTACATCCAGTTTCAATTAGAATTATTGATCCAAGCCTGCTGGTGTGACCCATGAAGGGAGGGAGGGGAGGAGTTGCTGGCATCTGGCCCGCCTCTTCATGGTCAATTTGCCCCCATGTAGCCATTCTTTCTCCCTCCCCACCCTGTTGTTTTGTATTTACTTACTTAATTAATTTATATTTACTTTAAACTACCTTTAAACTTTTCTTAGAATGAGGTAGCAGACTAAATAAAGATTACTAGTTCACACATGTTAGCTATTACAGGTTTTTTCCCCTCATATAAATCTTAGGCAAATAATACATAGCCTAAAGGGATCACAACTAAGGATAATAATTGTTCTGCCTTTCTCAGAGCTTTTCAGACTACCTAAAGTATTAATTTCAGTTCTGGGTACCACATTCCAAGAGGGGATGTAAATAAGTCATAGTAGTTCGAATAGGAAAGTGCTCAGGATGGGACAGGAAAGAAGAAAGGCCGTGTCCCAGAAAGACTGGAGGCGTTCAGACTGGAAGAGAGATGGATGGACAGCTGCCTCCGCGTAGTTTAAAGGCTGGTCTGTGGAAGAGGGGCGAAGCCTGTCCCACATGATCAAAACTGGGACTAATGCTTAGAAACTTCAGGGGAACAGACTGGGGGCTCAAGAATTGTCTGCCATCGCAGGCTGTCCAAAAATGGAACGGGCTGCCCTGGAGGCCGTGAGTTTTCCAAGTGTGCAAGCAGATTTCAGGTGACCGCCGTGGTGAGGCTTGCTGACCGCGGTTCCCTCCTAACCCACTGTTCTGCAATGCTGTATCTGAGATTTCCAGTATGAATGACAGGGGAAATGACTGTTTAGAACTGGGGGAGTGGAGTTCTCTTTGCACTAGGGAGTGTGTTCTATCTTAGACCTGTTGAATTTAAAAGGAAGTNACACATATATATAATATAGTAAATATTACAATAGTGAAGGAATTTTTTTAAATATCAAGAAAAAAGTCCCAACACCATAACATTAACCCATTAATCCCTTTTTTCATTTTTTTCATGTGTCCTTTTCTTATAGAAAATCAACAGTGACTTGAATGTTTTGATGCAGTTAAGGTCCTTTTTATCTGTAACACTCCCCTGTTATCAACTCACTACCCATATTAGAAGAAGAAATAAGCGTAGGTGGATATGATTTTGTCTTAGAAAGTCCATATCATTTCCAAAGGTTTACCTCATGCTTGTATAAATATATACAAATCTTTATATGTTTTCTCAAAATTCTACAGGAAATTAGTATGTGACTTTCTGGTCTGTGGCTTCTGTTTTCATTCTTAAAACATTTATTTTTTACCTGTAGTTTGGCAGCTGCCCTGCTCTCCACAGTTTCTCACAAGGGCCAGTGTCTTTAGGACTGTAGGGTGTAATTCTGGTCCTGGAGA